CTTTCTCACCCCCCCTTCTTTCTCACGCCTCACCCCCCTCTCCCCCTTCTTTCTCCCCCTCCCCCCTACCTCCCTGTAGCGTGGCCGAGCCCTGTATGGTCCGCGGGTACAGGGAGCTTTTGTTTCCTGTACCCGGCCGGACTAACAGGAAGTGCACACTCACTGAGTGTGCACTTCCTGTTAGTCCGGCCGGGTACAGGAGACAGCTGCTCTCTGTACCCGTCGGACTAGCATGCTGCAGTGAGGGAGCTGACAGGAGCGTTCCCTCCTGTCAGCCTCTCCTCAGGCTGCGCCCGGGCGGTGCGGTCCGCCCTCATGGACGCACCGCCCGGGCAAAGCTGCAGCCGCCTGAGGCTCTTCACAGAGCGCTCGGGCGGCTGCAGCATGGGGGGGGGGCTGGTCATGGCACCCCCCATCCTGGTGGCACCCGGGGCGGACCGCCCCCCCCACCCCTCCCTTAGTACGCCACTGTCAATCAGTCTTCTCGGGTTCACTGAATTTACATGTTCCCGTATTCTAAATTTAAAATTGCAGGATGTTTTACCCACATGTAAGATAAACCAGGCCTTTGGATTGGTAATTGAAGACATTTTTAAAATTGAATTCCTGAGAGTGTGTTGAATCTGGAAATGTTTTAGAAGGTCGCCGAATAAATTTACAGGCTTTACATCTGCCGCACTGGTATGTACCTATGACTGTAGATTTCAACCATGTTGACTTCTGAGGAGTATTCCTGACATAGCTAGGGACAAGGATATCTTTAATATTGCAACCCCTTCTAGCTGTTACAGATGCACGAGGTGCAATCACTCAATGTAAATGTGGATCCTGGTGCAATAGGGGCAAGAATCATTCCAAAATCTTCATGATTGGGTGCCAGCCGGCATCGAAGTTCCCTATACATCTGATAATTTCTTGTGTTGAAATTGTATCAGTACCATCAGATATAAGGTCTTTACGATCTGTAAGAAGTGCGAGTTTGTATGCATTTTTAATGCATCTGTTGGGATATCCCTTTTGTCTAAACTGGTGTTGTAAGGTCTTTAATTTGAAATCCTCAATGGTGGAACAATTGCATCGGAGACACAAATATTGACCAATGGGTATACCAAGTGATGGGTATCTAGATAAAAAAAACTTCTACAAAGAGAGAGTTTCTGGAACTATAAGCTTAAGACACTCTCACCCCTTGGTCTCAATGAAGGGTTCTCATATACATCCTTTATGTCAGATTAATTTGTTACATTTTTTTTCAGATTGGTCGTATTGAAGGTATCTCATACACGCCTCTTGTATTGAATTTAATTGTAAATATGCAAACATCTGTATATACTGTATTTCCTGGCCATAGGCCATGGCAGCACAACAATGGGTTAGTTCCTCCCTATCCCTAATTAGACAGGAACACCACCACTCCCTCAGTCTTTTTGTTCCTGTCCTATCCCTATAGGACTCTAGTCACTATAGACTAGAACATTTTTACTTTTTGGCTTACCTGAGGGTTTTTACCTTTGGCCCCAAGGGAGTTCAGCCTCTCTTCCTTGGGAAGTCTCCAGTACGTTGCCCTGTGCAAAGAGAAAACCCCTGGAGATGCTCCTTTAGTGACAGGGAACTACTTGCAGTGACCCTAGGGGTAGCAAGAGAAAATTGCCAATAAGAACAATTCCCTGCAATGACCAAGCGGTAGCAGGAAGTGGCAGAAGAACCTTATCTTCAAAAGATTCTTCCTATCTTTTACCTGGCATCCAGAGTATCCAATATAGATATGTCTGGCTTCCGTGCATGCGCGGACCGGCGGGCACGTCATGCTGACTTCCGCGCATGCGCGGACCAGCGGGCGCGTCATGCTGACCTCCACGCATGCGCGAGGTATAGGTTCCACACATGCGCATTGCGGTCAGCCTAGGAATCCGGGGATGTCATCGGTGACGTCACACGCCCTTTTTAAAAGGCGACAAAATCAAACAAATTTACCTTTCTCAGGTTAATCTGTCAACTGGACGTTTTCTCAGTACTATTTTCTCCAGTTTTGATTGTCAGCTTCAGTCTTCTTTTTCAAAATTGGATTTTTATACTGTTTAGTATAAATATTTCAATTCCTTTCTATATTACAGCAGGAAAAATGGAAAAAGACATATCATTCTCATCGGACTCTGAGACATCTATACATAAACAAAGGTCACAATCTAAAGATTATAGGTAAGCCAACATTTTTTTCTCTCTATATATAATTACAAACAAAAGAGTGCCTGGACTAATTATATTCCCTATCCTGATAGCACCACGGGAATTCAAGCATCTGGAACTTCCAAAGGCAAGTCACCTATGTAGAAAAGATGCGAGGCCTGCAACAATAAACCAC